TAGATATTTTTACACTTAAAAATGTTGAATTTCATGCCAAAAAAAGAGCATTTGCGGGAAGTTATAATTCATTACTTTATTTTGAAGAAAAGTGCTGCTGGAAGTTATCGTATACTTCAGGAAGCTTATGGTGAACATGCTTCATCTCAAGATACTTGTGAATGCTGGTTTAAATGCTTTAAAAGTGATGATATTGATGTGAAAGACAAAGAACGCCCAGGTCAACAGGAAAAGTTTGAAGACCAACAATTATAAGCATTACTGGATGAAGATGTGTGTCAAACTCAAAAACAACTTGCAGAAAGATTAAACATTGCTCAACAAACAATTTACAATAATTTACAAGCAATGGGAAAGATTTTAAAGGAAGAAAAATGGATGCCACATCAACTGAACAAAAGACAAATGGAAAAACGAAAAACCATCAGTAAAATGTTGCTTCAACAGCATGAAAGGAAGTCTTTTTTGCATGAAATTGTGACTGGTGATGAAAAATAAATTTATTTTGAGAATCCCAAACACACAAAATCATGGGTTGATCCAGGTCAACCATCAACACTGACTGCAAGGCCAAATCGTTTCGGAAAGAAGACAATGCTCTGCGTTTGGTGGAATCAGGAAGGTGTGGTGTGTTATGAGCTTCTAAAACCAGGTGAAAACATTAATATTGATCGCTACTGACAACAAATAATCAATTTGAACCATACTTTAATGATGAAACAACCAGAATGGGCTGGAAGACACGGCAAAGTAATTTTACTTCATGATAACGCACTCTCACATATTTCAAAACCAGTTAAAGACACGTTAAAAGATCCTGCCTGGAAAGGATTAACCTACTCGCCATATTCACCAGACCTTGCTCCTTCAGATTACCACTTGGTTCTGATTGATAGCACTCTCACTTTCTGACAGCACTTCAAAACATACGAAATGGAAAATTGGGTCTTTGAATGTTTCCCTCAAAACAAGAAAAGTTCTATTGGGACGGTATCCACAAATTACCTGAAAGATGGGGAAATGTGTAGGTAGTGATGGACATTACTTTGAATAAAGCACTTTTGATGTTTCTCTTGAAATTATTGTTTTCTTTTATTACAAAATCCACCATTATTAACCGGTACACCTAGTACATTACATTTAAGTGGCTATACCGTGACTTACCTACAGTCACCTGGGTGGTTTCCACCTTGGAGTGATGACCTGAACAAAAGACGACTATGGAGCACGTTTGGGTTGCAATGTAAGCTGCTTATCATGTGGGACCTATATGATAAGGTCATCTGAGGTGTGTGCCAAACAGATGCATAAGAAACCTGTCACTGTGCACTGCCACAGCTCTTTGTTAAAGGACACTGATACTAAAGAAGCCAGCCTTGCCCAACACTCCATGGGCCAATTTCTAGTAAGTTCCACAGGAAGGATTTCTAGCATGTTCCACGGGAATGGTGCTATAGTGAATTCTCTACTATTAGGTGAGCCGGAGCTGTGTACTCTCCACTATCAGCCATGGAAAAGGCTCTTCCATAGGTATTCTATCAGCCCCAGGACAGGAAGCTGATCCTTATATTTGCTATTGTTATCCCGTGGATTCTCGGCTCTTTAACTTAATTTGTTCTGGCAGGCTGTTTGAGAAGTGATCTGTTCAAAAACCAAATCATTGTTTCCCATTAATATCCTGTAAGTTGAATCAATCCATTCCAGACCCCCCAATGATTTCCTATTTTGACCTTTCTTATATACAGTACATGCCTAATATACTGTTTAATCTGTAAATAAACACTCCATTTCTTAAATGTATCGAACCATCCCCGACTAGCCTTAAAGAAAACACTATTAGCCATTGTTCCAGAGATATTAGCATGTAGCATCTTTGCTGGTTCATACATCACTATCTCCTACATGTCTGTAACTGGTTAATTGCTTTTCCTTTATCCAAATCAACACATTTTTCTATCTCTTCAACTGCCTATGATCACTGTTTCTTTCACACCCTCAGCAACATAAGCACTCTTTATGTTTTAAAATTGTAATAGTTATTGATTTCCCCAGCAACAAAAGCATTCTCTCCTTGCCAGAGAGATGCTTTTAGTCATGCTGAGGTATCAGCTTAAAAGGGTTGCCATTTTGGAAAACTATGAAGTTTGGTTCAACAACAGAGACATTTTTTTCTGTGAACAACTTGGTCGAGAACCAAAGTGTTCAAGATGGGTGGGAGATATTCAAGAAATGAATTAGGACTGTATTCTTTAAGAGTTCTCTTTATATATTATTGACACTTCATTACGCCAACTCCCTGTTATATTTAATGAAACTTTATAATAAACTAGAGGCCCGGACCCTAGGTCTGGCCAGCGATCAGGGCCAATTAGGGCCTTCCGGCTGCTGCCTGGAGCTTCCTTCATTCCGTACCACCCTCTGGTGGTCAGTGCACATTATAGCAAGCGAACTCATGGTATCCAGGTCGAACTCCTGTGGGGACACTTTGCATATTAGCCATATACTTATATATATTCTACAGGCCCAGTGCACAAAAAACGTGCATCCAAGGGATGTCTGATTGCCCATTTAGGCTCAATCTCGACAGGATTGGGCCTAAACAGGCAGTCGGACATCCCTCTCACAATCAAGGACTGCTGGCTCCCAACTGCTCGCCTGCCTGCCTTCCTGATTGCCCCTAACCGCTTCTGCCTGCCAGCCTGCTCACACCCTAACCACTCCCCTGCCAGCCTGATTGCCCCTAATTATCCTCCTTTGCAGGCTTGGTCCTCCCAGCTACTCTCCCCTGCAGGCCTAGGTTTCCCCCCCCCCCAACTGCCATTCCCTGCAGGCCTGGTTGCCCCCAACATCCCTACTTGCAAGCCTGGTCCCTCCCAACTGCCCTCCCTTGCTGGACATCTTGTGGCCGCCACCTTGTGTATTGGTGTGATGGTCAATTTGCATATTATTCTTTTATTACAAAATATTATTTTATTTTCCCTATTTAAAACAGTATATAATAGAGACCGTAAAGCAACAAGCAGACTGTCAAATTACAGTGGGGAGGGAAGGGAGATCTGGGGGAGATAAAAGATCAACGGAAGGACTTGTATACATGCATATAAGTACAACCAATGGACACAAAACTCTGGGGAGGGTACGTATGTTTGCGGGGGGGCGGGGGCAATGGTAAGATATTTACACAAATAATAATTTAATAAAAAATAAATATAAATAAATAAATAAATAAATAAACCAGTACATAGCCCTGACTGGTTTGGCTCAGTAGATAGAGCATTGGCCTGTGGACTGAAGGGTCCCAGGTTCGATTCCTGTCAAGGGCTTGTACCTTGATTGCAGGTACATCTCCAGGAGGCGACTGATTGATGTTTCTCTCTCATTGATGTTTCTGGGTCTCTATCCCTCTCCCTTCCTCTCTGTAAAAAAATCAATAAAAAAAACTTTAAAAAATTAAAATTAAAATTAAACAATATATAGCTTTTCTCTCTTGATCAGAGACAGGCTAATATACCTTATTAACAGTGTGAGTGGTTCACTTCAATGACATGAAGTCCAACACAAGAACGTCATTTTAAACAAGATTTCATTTTGACATTTTACTTTTAAAATTCAAAATTAAATAGGAATGATTTAGACTAAGTTTAAGCATAGTATTAAGTCCAAATTAATTTATATATTTCTTATTAGGGCTATTTCAATAATGGCTTGCCAAACTGCACACTGCTTCTTCAAACATTCTACAGTCTAAACTAGCATTAATCAGTCCCAGTCCATAACTTATAATCACATGCTTTCAGCATTATTTTTAACTAGAGGTGTGGTGCACGGATTCGTGCACATTGAAAGTAAATTAATTAGATGGTGGCCAGTGGGACTGGATGAGATGGGCCGGACACGCCCTGAAGCCAACCTCACACGGTCCCTCCCCGGCCAGCCTGGGGAGGCACTGGGGCTCAAAGGGTGTTTGTGGAGTGAGCAGGGTCCCTCCGGCAGGTGGGGTCCCTCAGCCTGGCCTGAAGGGATCAGGCCGAAACTGGCAGTCCAGCATCCCCCATGGGGTTCTAGAATGCAAGAGGGCACTCTGCAAAGGTGCTATTGTTTGGTAGCTCCTGTGTTAAGCATCAGCCCCCTGGTGGTCAGTGTGTGTCATAGCTACCAGCCAGTAGGCCAGTCACTTAGGCTTTTATAAATATAGAAGATAAGTAATTGCTTATTTCTTATTATTCAAGTTTTACAAGGCCTAAAATATAGAAGGCAAAAGTGAAGATAATGTTATAAAATTAATTTTCGTTACTAAAAGCAGTTCTTAAGCATAAATAACAGTGTCAAATAACATGGGTCAAGGTTATTGGCTTAACTTTCTACACATTCATTCCAGTACAAGACTTTAACTCTGGCCAGCTCTTAACCACAAGGAAGCCCATGTGATGGTGGGTTGGTACAAGCAAAACAGTATCTTGGGAAATACTTAAAAAGCAGGGAACCCACAGTGTTATCTTTTTAAAACAGTGTTTTATTGTCTGCTGTGCCTTTTAACTGGAAATACATTAAGGAGTTCATTATTTTTTAATAGTTTAACAAAACTTTAAGCTTAACCAATTTAAATAACCTATTTACAAAATAAAAAAACAAAACAAACAAAAAAGCAACCAAAGTTACTCAAGACGGAAAGATACACCACTTTTTACAAAACTAGAAGATAACCACCAACATTCCACCAAAAAAGAGAGAAGAGTGGAGACTACAGATTACGCACTGAAAAGCAAACAAGTGTTTTGTGGTTTTAACAAATTTCAGAATACATTCTACTTCTAAAACAATAAAAAGAAGAACTAAGTGTCACTGTTCATTTTGAATACCTCCATAAATGAAATGTATAAAATCATTAGTAGCTACCATTTAGTACAAAAGACAAGATAGAAACTATTAAAATTTGCTTTAGGAAAACAGAAATGCTTTTACATGGCAATTTATTATTTTTTAAGTATAGTTTTTCTTACTTGAGAGAGGCCAGGGGACGATGCATGTCCCGGGGGCGTTGCCGCAAGATTTGGATGCCCCTTGTTTATTTCATGTGCGGCATAAGGGGAAGGGGTCGGGGGTCCTGGCTGTCTTGCTACCTGTGAGGAAATCAACATTTATTACATTAGTAAGAGTATTATAATAGTAACATAAGCTTAATAAACATAACTAGACTGGCAAACTTTTTAAAAGTGAATTTTCTGCCTTACAATTTATACTAAAGTAAATGCCAAACTGTCAAAAGGCTTAGATTTTCAATACTGAAGCAGTGAAATTCTTAGAAAAATTATAAACATGAATATTCCCATTTATTTGATAGAAGATTCTTGAAGCATAATCTAAAACCAAAACCCTAGAAAGAAAAATATGCTAAATAATAGGAGCCAGACTTGAAATTGCATAATGTACAATGATTACATTTATAAGAGGATTTACAAAGATAAAATGATTGCAAGCGGATGAGGATAACTACAAAAAGACAAAGAGATTTGGGGGAGTGATACAACTTCTATATCTTTATTATAGTAGAAGTTATATATCTCTGTGTTTGTCAAAACTCACATAACAATAAACTAAAAAAAGTTAATTTCACTTCATGTAAATTAATTTCAATAAACCTTAAACCTAAAAAAGGAAAAGCTACTTATAGAGTGTAATCTCAATTTTGTTTTTGAAAAGAACATGTACAGCCCTAGCCAAGTAGGTCATTTGGTTGGAGTGTCATCCCAGCGTGCCAGGGTTACAGTTCAGTCCTGGACAGGGCAATTACAAGAATCAACCAATGAATGCATAAACAAGTGGAGCAAAATATCAATGTTTTTCTCTCTCCTACTCTCTTATCTTTCTCTCCCTCTAAAATTAATTAATTTTAAAAAGTAAATGTACATGTATATATGTTTCTGTATGTTTAACTTTCTTGATATATGTTTACATATATACACATACATATAGGATGTCCCATGGTATATATACTTTGAGTAATAATTAATTCCAATGGATTAAATCTGAAAAGGAAGAAACAGCCATCAGGTGTTAAGTGTGTATACATTTTGGGGGACACCCTGTTTATACATCCTATTAAAGAGTTGTAAGGAGATAGAGGTGTTTTCTTTTTTTCCTCATTTTTATTTTCTAATACTAGAGGCCTGATGCACGAAATTCATTCAAGGAGCTCGCCCCTCGCAGCCCCTCGCAGCCCCTCACAGCCCTGACTTCATCCGGAAGGTCGTCTGGACAACCGTTATATTTAGTCTAATTCGCATATTCATTTTTATTATATAGGATATTTCAATGGCCATAAACTTGTAAAACAGAATAACTAGCATTCTATATAAACACAATTACATTTCCCCACTTTTTGCTGGCAATAACTGCCCATCGGCTTGTGGTTGATTTGAGACCACTTCACTCAGGCTCCTTTCTAGAGTAAAGCAATCAATCCTAACCAGCTCCTCTCTATCATAGTCTAAACCACTCTAGCACTGCAATCCATGAGTGGAGGGCAATTCTCTAGTCATCTAATATTAAAGAACCTGTTCAAGTGTTTTTAACATTTTTAAAAAGGCAATTTCCTATTATTCAAATAATGCTTAAATACTCAAGCAACATGTGTCATCATGAACCATTCTACACTGGACTTCATTATCACAGGGTTCAATTTTGAGGACTATTTCTTTTCATATTTAGTAACTGGCAATGGGAACAAAAGAAAGATTAGCTGTTTTTCAGTGATTAACATTTGAGCGCCTACCACCAATCAGTAACAATGCTACTAACATGAAATAAAAATACCTGCCCTCCAAATATGTCTAGGTATAAAAGTTAACATACAGTATGCCATATTCTGTACTATGAATCTAATCACAAGAGAAGAGTCAGGGCTAGAGAGAATAAATTTAGAGGTGGGTGATTATCAAAGTTCCAGGGTAGTCTCTAAGTGAATTATAAAAACTAGCAAAATACCCTAGCCAGTTTAGATCAGTGGATAGTGCATTGGCCTGCAGACCAAAGGGTCCCAGGTTTGATTCCAATCAAGGGCATGTACCTTGGTTGCAAGCTCTTCCACAACCTGAACCCTGGTTGGGGCTCGTGCAGGAGGCAACCAATCAATGTGTTTCTCTCACATCAATGTTTCTCTCTCTCTCTTCCACTCTACCTAAAAATCAATGGAAAACTATCCTCCTGTGATGATTACCAAAAAAAGTAAATAAAATTTTTTAAAAATTAAAAATAGTAAATGAGTTGGCTGGTGTAGCTCAGTGGTTGAGACTTGACCCATGAATCAAGAGGTCACCAGCTTGATTGCCCCATCAGGGCATGATCCCCAGTGGGGCAACCTATCAATGATTCTCTCTCATTATTGATGTTTCTCTCCTCCTCCCCTTCCTCTCTAAAATCAATAAAAAATAAATGTAAAAGAAAACAAAAACCAGCATATAAGTCCTGGCTTCTGTGGCTTAGTTGAATGAGTACCATCCAGTGTACCAAAAGGTCAAAGGTTGATGGTTCAAGTCTTGGACAGAAGAGATACCACACAGTGATCATAGTACAAACCATAGTACAAATCATACAACTTGATATGATTCCTAACTTGGCTTCCTCTGCCACACAGTTAGCACTGACCAAACCTCAATGCTTATCTACATTAAGCTACAAAGATAAAATAGCCCTTGTCCTTAAAGGCTCCAACAGAAAGAAGTCACAGGAAATAAAGAAATAAAATCATGTGGAAAATGCTCCAGAAAGTTTAAAATATTGCTGAAAATCAGGGGTAATTAGTTCTGAGGTTTGGTAGCATCACACCAAGAATTGGAGACAGCAATGTGAAAACACACAAATTCCTTTGCTCTCAGCAAAAGGAAGCCACAATTTTTAAATGGGATGAACTCTATCCTCATTTATATTTTATGAGGGTAAGACAGAGACTAGAATGTCCACCAAAAAAATTTTGTATCTGAATGTTGTTAGCATATTCATAAGAGCAAAAACTGGAAACAACTCAAATATCTACCAAATAATGAACAGATCAATAAAATATGGTATTCTCCATCAACAGATATTATTCAGCAATAAAATATTATGTTAAGAGAAACAAGTCTTCACAAAGTACCAGACATGGTATAATTCCATTTATAATAAAATATCTATACTAATATGCAAATATGTAAGAGACAGATAGATTAGTGGTTGCCTCGGGCTTTGGAGTTGGGAAGTGACGGGCTAATAAGAAACACAGGATTTCTCTTTAAGGTAATGAAAATGTCCTAAGATTGACTGTGGTGATGGCTGTACAACTCTGAATATGCTAAAATCCATTGAATTATACATTTTAAATGAATGAATTATCTCAAATAAAGAGAATGACACAGAAGCCAACGCTGAGGAGGCAAGCTGCCTAGTAATGAGAAAGATGATTTTCATATGAGAATTAATTTAAAAGAGCCAACTTGATTAAATAACTTTAATCACGGGCTTCAGAGATGATTTATGGTTTCTACCTAAAGGCGTCAACAGGAAACCTATGAAGATTCACTTCTGGCTACAAGAAAAAAAAATGGAAGACTTAGAAGTATGTTATCCTACTCACCTAACCTGAACTTCATTCAGATCATTGGCTTTGCTGACACAACAGCATATAATATTTCTATCTTAGTTAACTATTCACTTTAATTTTTTGTATTCTTCTTCCATATGTTGGAAGGTAAGTTACTGAAAACACAACAGGAGAGAACATGACCATATCTAATTTCAGCTATATATTTAACAGCAGTGTTGCTATGGGGAAATAACTAAGGATTTTTCACTTTCCTGCCTTATAAAATAAAATCTTAAGAGGGATATAATGAAGGTTAGAAATCAATTTTGGAAAGTAACTAATATAGTGCTAGATACACAACAATTGGAAGCTACTAGTATTTATATCCACAAATTAAACTTTAGGTTCATGAAGGCCATTATAAGAAAACTAGAGACTCAGTGCACAAATTCGTGCCCTGGTATTGGTCCCTCAGCCTGGCCAGCAATTGGGGCCTATTGGAGTCATCTCATCCAGTCCTGATTGGGGCCAATGGGGGCCAGTTGGCTGGGAAGGTACCGCGGGAGGGCTTTAGGGCGTATCTGGCCTCCATTCCTATCAACCGGACCCTACTAGTTGGAGCATCTGTCCCTGGTGGTTGGTAAGCATCATAGCAACTGGCTGAGTGGTCAACCAAATGGTCGAATGATCAATTGGACACTTATCATATTAGGCTTTTATATAGATAGATAGATACAAATTGTTTTTAAAATTTGGTATCTAGAACATCTATAACCACAGATTATATGAATTCATATGTGCAAGATCAATGACTATTTATAGAATATAAAATAGTAAATTAAGAATAAATGAGTTTAGATTGAAACATCAAAGATTTTACCAGCTGAAGAATATGCATGAGGTAACAAAGCTCTTTAATTCATTTATATCTGCTTTGATGCTATGCCCACAAAAACAAGTTAGACAATGAAATAAAATAAAAATTTAACACTAAATAATTGGCTATTGAAAAATGACAAATTCAATGACTCTAGTAAAATATATTCCTGTATGTTTTGATAAAGATCCTTTAAGGAAATGACCACTGGTTCCAAAAGGTATGCCCATGCTCTTTAGAAAGTATTTTCTGAACAAACATACTTCATTTTATTGCCCTCAGAAATCATGTGGTGATTTTTTGGGTTTGTTTTTTTTTTTTTTACAAATTAAAGGTCTGTGGCAACTTTGCGTCCATCAAGTTTATCAGCACCATTTTTCCAACAGCATTTGCTCAACTTGTATCTCTGTGTCATTTTGGTAATTTTCATACTATTTCAAATTTTTCATTATGTTATGGTGATTTGTGAACAATGATCTTTCATGTCACTATTGCAATAATTTTTCAGCATCATGAACATGTCCATATGAAATGGTGAACTTAATTGAAAAATTTGTATGTTTTTATTGCTCCACCAATTGCCTATTTATTTCTCTACATCTCCTCAGGTCTCACTTTTCCTTGAGACACAACAATGCTGAAATGAGGCCAATTAGTAAACCTACAATGGCCTCTAAGAGTTTAAG